TTTCTAAAATCAGAAAATATAATCCGTATTACCCTGCCAGGCGTTTCCATGGCCAAATACCATTTATGTATAAGGTTAACTAGGGCCAACACAGCAGATGATCCCGGTAACCCGCCATATTGGGATTCATTGACATTCGCCTCTACATCCTGATTGATCCATTCTATAGCGTACGACTCCTGTATCTTAGACAAGACGCTGTGGTATGCACACTCAATGAATGACCAACCAATATGTCTCTATGGGGACCCAGCCTACCCACTTAGGGTTCATCTTCAAGCACCTTGCCGCATTGCACAACTAACCCAACAGATGAGGCTTTTTAATACATTGATGAGTTCCACAAGAGTCCCAGTTGAATGGCTGTTTGGAGATATCATCAATTACTTTAAATTTGTTGACTTCAAAAAGAACTTAAAGATTGGCCTAAACAGTGTAGGTAAAATGTATTTGACATGTGTACTACTGCAAAATGCCCACACATGTTTGTATGGAAATCAAAAATCACATTTTTTCAACTTGAGCCACCTACACTTCAACAATATTTTGTTTGAAAGCCAATATAAACATTACATGTGCTTCCACGTTAAATAACAATGTACATAACTTTAAAACTTTACACAACAATGTCAAGCAAAAACCAAGTGAGGTGGGGAATGCACTTACAGCTTCTTTTACAGTTACAGTGTCAGTGAGTTAAAAAATATTATCTTTATCAATGACAAATGACACTCGAGAGAAGCTCTCTGATTGAACTTCCACTCATTGAGTTCCAGAGGATAGGTTAAAAATCAGCAAGAATTTTCCAAGAAATAGCTACTAATCGACTGCCTCGTCCCCAGTCGCTTTCAAATGGAGGAGAGGAAAACAAGAAAAAATTTCTTTGTTGGGCTTGCACAGAATAACTGATCTATATAGATAGCATTGCACTAGACTAGACTAGACTAGACTAGACTAGACTAGACTAGACTAGACTAGACTAGACTAGACTAGACTAGACTAGATTAGATGGACTGTCCTGAGGCAGGCTAATCGAGAAATAAATAAGGAAATTCCACCACATGACTAGGTCAGAAATTGTCAAGGAATTTCCATGGGATGGGTAAAAAAAGATGGAAGGCTAAAAATTCAATAAAAATCTGTGGAAATTTTACAGGGGAGGCTACAAATTCGCTAAAAATTTGCGAAAATTCCAAAGGAGAGGGACCAAAAATAGATGCAAATCTATACTTAATAGCGGGGAGTTTGGTTTAGAATAATTTATGCAATGTGTCATAAATATTATTATCGCATGTATATTGGGTGAACTTTCACATTTTAATAAATAATTCACATCATTAAGTGTAAGGGACTAAATCTGTACACGTATCTTTATAATATCTATCCAGTACAGAAGTTAGCTATTCATGTGTTTGGTCTTGCACAAGAAGAAAATATTCAAATTTGACCTCGACAAGTTAATACAAATATAGAATATAAATGAAACAGGGTACACAATTTCAATTGCAAATTAGTAACAGTCAGGGAGGCGAATAAATAGTAAATATAGAAGTATGAAACTTATAAATACCTGGTAGTGGTTACTGAGTTACCTTGTATAAATACGTCGAAAAAATTGGAAAATTTTGAAGCAAATTCCACGTAATGCCGACGACGAGGAATCATGCAAAATCAAGTCGTCGTCTCTGCGACGACGACGGCAACGCAAGTTCATAAAACAATATGCAAACTCAGCAAAAAAACAGTAACTTTACTTCTCCGGGTGGTCGTCGTCATCGCGATGACGCAGTTTGGTTAAGGTCTCTAACAACATCAAGTTCAACGCATCGAAATGTAAGGTTTTGAGCGTGACTCGAAAGAAAAATCCCGTGACTTACAACTGTCATTTGGGCTCATCCTCGTTGCTTCGTGTTTGGAAGGAAAAGGATCTCGGCGTGATGGTGACAGGCATTCTCTTGTGGAACACTCGTATTCAAATGATAACAGCTAAAGCTCACAAGATGCTTGGTCTCTTAAAGAGAACTTGTCCTTTATTGACGGAAACCAAAATCCGGCGTTCATTATACCTATCGCTTGTAAAGTCGAAGTCATGCTATGGTACTGAAATTTGGTCTCCATCCAATGTCTCCCTCAAAGTCAAGATTGAAAGAACACAACGACGCGCGACAAGATGGATCCTAAGATTAAGAATAGGTGAGATATCTTACCAGGAGGGACTTCAGACTTTGGACATGCTGCCGTTGTGTTATGACAGAGAGACTCAAGACTTGCATGGTCTTCTTTTATAAGGCACTATACGGTTACGTAGACTTAGACATAAGCAATTATGCCAGTTTTATAAATCATGGTCGTTCTCGACTAACCTTAAATCCTAGTCTATTACTTCAAGTGCCGTTATGTAGAACAACTACATTTAAAAACTCTTACTTTAATCGAACATTTCATTTATGGAATGTAGTGTGTAGAACTGCATCACCTAATAGCTTCGTGACATTATTTACTTTTAAGAACTTTCTTCGTCAGACTTATTCGTTTTTACGTAATTCAGCTTTTGACGTAGACATGCCATGTACCTGGTCTCTTGTTCGGGACTGCCCATGTCACATAAATTAAAATAATGTAAAGCTCTTTGACTGAAGTAAAGTTCGTTTCATGTACATGCCCAACTCACATGTTTTCAAAACAAGTTTTATTTTCTGTACATTTTTCCAAAATCTGCCTTTTACGTATTTGAGAGATCAGTTGTGGGTTATGCGCAAATCGAGCTTTACCTCAACTATAATTTATAGTGTATTGTAAATATAATTGTAAAGTTTATAAGGGGGGTGCCTCGCATGGGGCAAATGCAACTATTGGCCCTCTGTCAGGAATGGAACCTGCGGCCCTGCGATTCCAGTGCATCGCTCTAACCAACTGAGCTACAGAGAGACAGTTGTCGAGCTCTAACCAACTGAGCTACAGACAGTTGTCGAGCTCTAACCAACTGAGCTACAGAGAGACAGTTGTCATGCTCTAATCAACTGAGCTACAGAGAGACAGTTGTCGAACTCTAACCAACTGAGCTACAGAGAGACAGTTGTCGAGCTCTAACCATCTGAGCTACAGAGAGACAGTTGTCGAGCTCTAACCAACTGAGCTACAGAGAGACAGTTGTCGTGCTCTAACCAACTGAGCTACAGAGAGACATTCGTCGAGCTCTAACCAACTGAGCTACAGAGAGACAGTTGTCGAGCTCTAACCAACTGAGCTACAGAGAGACAGTTGTCGTGCTCTAACCAACTGAGCTACAGAGAGACAGTTGTCGAGCTCTAACCAACTGATCTACAGAGAGACAGTTGTCGAGCTCTAACCAACTGAGCTACAGAGAGACATTTATCGAGCTGCAACCGCAGGTTCATGTGCATATACTGAAGTGCTGCCATTGTAAAGTGTACTGGCAAATATCAGGATTTTGGGCATCTCACTCGATAGAATTGCAGAAAGATGTTTGTAGATAGATATTTCGAGTGTGTACATAAAATAAACCTAACTAGGAGCAGTTGCGAAAAATGCAACTATATGCCCTCTGGTTTTTACCCTGACGAAGAGTAATGTTAAAGTAATACCAAGCTAACAAGTGAATTGGAATGAACATAGCACGAATCAAGTGTTATGGGAAGTTTTATTTTGCATAAGCAAAGATAACAGCGAATAAATCATACTTTTCTTCTTTAAACCACAGACATGAATTTAAAAAACCGACAACGGAGGAAGACTGGCTTGACGGCGGTTTTAAAAAAGAAGGAAAGGGAGACAAAAAGGCGGTAGAAAACTGTTCCAATGAGGAAAAAGATGAGTTCAAGCACCAGGACAATAAGTTGGAAACAAAAAACGATTCAAACCAAGGTCCTGACTTGTTGCAGTGTTCTGGTGGAAATGGAAATGATGCGCCTTCTAAGAATCAACCCACAGTGAATCAAAGCGAACAATCCTGGCAAGCTACAGCTAAACCAAGCCATGGATATGGAAATAATGGTGGAGGATTTGGAGGTGATGGCAACGATCCACCCAAGAGAAATCCTGAACTTTTTAAAGGACATTATCTTGAATCTGATGTACCTCTGAAGAAGAAAGGTACATTTGAATATTTGTTGTCATTGCAATCATAATTCGCATGTACGAATAAAAATTGTTTTCCACTCCAATCGTATCGAACCGTATAGTATTTTTTTGTCAATATCATTATTTTTGTTCTGGTGCTCCCAAAATATAGAAATACGCCATGTTTGGTTACGATACGTTTGGAGTAGAATATAAGCTTAATTACTTTCGCACAAGAAAGAAACATTTTGTTTTGCATTGTAATATAGATGAAATGGCAAAAGACAGTGGTAAAGTGCAACCTGAAACGTTGGGTGTTCCAGTGCCATGCGCAGAAAGCTCTGGGTCAAGCAATGAGTCAACAGCGAATGAGGATAGATCAACCGCGAAAGACGAAAATGGGTCAAGGGAGACGCAAGTAGATAGGTTTTTGTCGTTGGAAAACATGTCTATGTCTGACGACAAGAACGAAAACCCTCAGTCTTCAGACAATGGTAATGGAGTAGGTTTGCTGCGTGGAAATGAAAATGTAGTTGGTTTGTTGGATGGAAATGGAGTAGGTTTGCTGGGTGGAAATGAAGTAAGCTTGCTGGGTGGAAATGAAGTAGGTTTGCTGGGTGGAAATGGAGTAAGAAGTTTGGTGGATGGAAATGGATTAGGTTTGGTGGATGGTTTTGGACAAGGTGCGATGGATGGAAATTGGTCAAGCATTGTGCCAGTGAATACTGTGGATATGCGTTCAGATATCGAGAACGATTGGAGAGATTGTGGAGATTCAGACAATGACAATGATGGAAATCTTGGCCAGAATGTAAGTTATAATTCGTTATTTTTAAATGAATTAGAATTGGTTTTCTGTATGTTATAGTTCGATCTTCTCAAGATGAAATTAACTTATCTATAATAATTTGTCTAAGTTAAAAATAATTGAAGTAGTATAGGGAAGGGGGGTTCTGGGACGGGTGGTGCACTAAGCACCACCCATGACGTCATCACAGTATAATTTCATATCAATTACACGCGCTTAGAGAATGACTGCACCCACTCAGCCAATCAGCTTCGAGTATTTCATTACTCTATATCTCATAGTGTGCTAAATCATCAAGTGGCGAGGGCTTTGAAGCGTAGGGAAAATGTGGGGTTAAGAAAACAAAAGGTTTAATAAAAAGATTAAATCATTAGCCACTCTATTTAATTCATTAACCACTCTATTGAATTCATTAGTGACTCTATATAGAGTCATATATAGAGTCACTAGCGAGTCTATATAGAGTCACTAATGAATTCAATAGAGTAGTTAATGATTCATAAAAAATCACACCTAAAGCAGTTATTGTACAAGTTGTCCAAAATTTACAAAGTAAGAACACCAGCCTTTTCGTTATAATTATAGCATTAACACGCACATACACCAATTCATTGGTGTATTAACACTCACATACACCATTATAATTATAGCATTAACACGCACATACACCAAGACATTTGTTACTTTTTGCAGCAATTCATCGCTTGGCGCCTTCGCCGTTTATAACTTTGTACTGCCGTACTTCTGTGTCTTCTTGCTAATAAAACTAACCACTCTCGCACAGTTGGTCTGTACGCAATTGTAAGCATGAATACACAAATAATTAAAGTGCACAAGACCGTCAACCGTTATTATAACTTTAATTGCATGCCTTCAATTCCTTCGTGGATGCAGTCATTCTCTAAGACTGTTAGAGCATGGTCACGTGTGCTCTATCGGATATAGAGTCCCTCGAATTAGTTAAAAGGCCACTCGGGGCCTACGGCCCCTCGTGACCTTTTAACTAATTCGAGGGACTCTATATCCCATATAGCACACGTGACCATGCTCTAACCATTACTTGTAATGTATTTAAAGAGTGTGGGGCAATGATTACTAGCATTTTAAGAAATTTTTTTTAAGTTTATTACTTTGCTAATATTTATCCCCACATATATTCCTTCTAACAAACTGAGTGTATTTTAAACACGTTCTCGATATATACTCTACTAAAGTTGTTGTAATGCTTGTGGGACGTAGATATTACACGCATGCGCAGTGAGAATTGTGTACTACGGAAATTAATTCCTGACTTATTAGGAGTTTTCAAAGATTCCGGGGGAGGGGGAAATTCTGCAGAGAATATCCCAGTTTATTCAAAATTCCCCAAAATCATAAACGACAATAGAAATAGAGTATAAAAGGTGTATTTGAATTCATCGTATTACAAGGTTTTATTAGATTATCTTAGAGTGTCCACTACTTTAACACCATCCTTGGTTTTCTCTGGGGATGTATTCACCATGTTTAGGACTATTAAACAAGGAATAATAAAAATCCAGACATACATATGAAATTTTTTAAACAGAACTAAGATATGCTAAGCTCAAGTTAAAATCGTTATCAACGCCGTTGTTATGGTCGATATTTGCATATTACAGAGTCATTAAAAAGTGATTAACCCGTCAACCCCGTGTGGATATATACAATTTTTTTTATTTCACCCAGCGAGCTTGAGACAGGAAAAAATACTAAAGAACAGAGAGTTATTACAGATTATATGCAAGATTGTCGAGAATTGCACCCTGATAGTTCTCAACACAATAAGTTTTAGTTTTCTGTAGTTTTAATAACATTTACACGCACTATAAATCTCTCACAACACGCTGTCTCAAAATTGTTTCACAAATCACAATAACAACTACCGGTATATTCCGGAACTTTCCGACAGAGTTCAGTTCGGACTCGCGCGTCCCACGCGTAACAAAACATAATATATAATGACAGTTTTCGACACCCTCCCCCCATATAGCTTGTAAAGGATATATGTTCTCAAGGAAACTTTTACTGTAATTTATCAAGTTCTAATGTCTCAATGTTTACACTTGTTCTTCATTTTCGATTTCGGCCATTTCCTGGATTCTGGAACGCGCTGCCACCGCCGCGTCTCGAGTTGGTCGGAAAACAGGAGCTGTTGGGTTAAGGGGCGGAGGGTCCTCTTGACGCTGATTGCACGACAACTCTAGAGGGTACAGGTGATTAACCGCTCTCTCCAAGTGACCATTTGACGTTTTCACCTTTGCTGCACGGATGACACCATCTCTCCCAGGAAAGAGTTCTTCAACTATTCCCAATGGCCATTTTCCTCGGTTTCTTTCATCAGAAGCGATGATTACAACTTCTCCGACAGACAACGTAGACGGCTTCCCATGGTGTTTCATGTTGTGCTTCTCTCGTAACGCTCGTAGATACTCGGTACTCCATCTTTTCCACATATGATCTTTGCATGTTTTGAGATATCTCGCTCGTTTTCTGAGGTCTCGATTTTCTTCATGGTGAGGTTCCAACTCAGGTAATACGGTAGTGCCAACGAACTGTAAACTATTTGGCGTCAGTGTAGGTAACTCTATGTCATCTTCCTGATATCCCAATGGGCGATTGTTTAAAGTCACTTCGATGTCTAACAGTACGTCTTGCAACTCGCTCCAAGTTAAACAGCTGTTTCCAATTGACTTGTATAACGCGCGTTTTACTAGTCCGACGAGTCGTTCGAATTGCCCACCCCACCAAGGGGCGCGACTCAAGTTGAACTGCCAATGAATTCTCTCGTTCGCCAATTTGTTGTGGAATTGCTCATCAGATTGTACCTTCTTTAACCATGTTGATGCAGCTGCAAACGTTCCTGCGTTATCCGAGTAAATCTTCTCAGGTCTCCCTTTTCTTGCTATGAGCCGTTTCAGTGTTTGCAGAAATTCACCTGTTTCCATCGTTTTCGTCAGCTCCAAATAGATTGCTCGACACAGACTACACGCGAACAATGTCACATACGCTTTTCCTTGTGTTTTCTTTGTCACACGATATTTTATCGGTCCAGCAAAATCCACTCCCACGACTTGGAATGGACGGTTACCTTGGGTACGATCTCGCGGTAAGTTTCCCACTGGTGGTCTTGCGACTCGTTTGGCGTGGAATCGTCGACACCCGAAACATTTCTTCATTACTTTCTTCACCAACTGTCTCAGCCTAGGCACCCAATATCGCTCTCTAATTTTTGTCATGGTCAAACCAACTCCCCCGTGTAAGGTGCGCTCGTGAGCATCTTGGACTAACTTTCTGGTGTAGAGATGGTCATCGGGTAAATATATTGGGTATTCTCCTTGCAATCGACCGTTACAATACATCACTTCATCTCCTTCGTTCGTCTTCACATTAAGGCGTAGTAGAACGCGTGTTCGTTGTTGATTTCTTCAGTTATTAACGGTCCTTTGTGACGGTTTTCTTTTTCGGCTCTACAGTTGAACACGAATCGATGCACCCAGGCGATAACTCTGATGGCTTTCGTCAATGAAATCTTTGCGAGAAGGTCGTCAAACTCATCTCTCGAAACCACGGCTGCACTTCTTTCACTGCTTTTGCTTCAGACTCGCTTTCGGGAGTAGCTGTCGTAACAATATCTGGAGGCCATTGATCTGGGTTCACCAACCATTTTGGGCCGTTCCACCAAACGCGATTTCCCGATACATTCCCTCCCCTGCTTCCCAGGTCGGCTGGGTTATCATATGTAGGTACATGGCGCCAGGTGATTTCAGGATGCTCTTGGATCTTCTTGACCCGGTTTGCTACAAATTGTTTATACTGTCCACCGCCTCGTAACCACTGTAATGCAACTGTGCTATCAAGCCAACCGAATACACTTATCACTGGGACATAATCAATTGCTTGTTGGGCATTGGATACAAGATTCGCGGCCATGTGAGCCGACACAAGTTCCAATCGAGGTATGGTGAGATCCTGTTTTGCTAACCGTGCTTTGGCAGCAACTAAACCAACGTTAACACCCGACTCTTGCTTCGTAATGGCATACACCGCAGCAGAAACTCCCTTTTTGCTTGCGTCACCGAACGCATGTAGCTCGACTTCGTCTACGATTTCCTGATGAACTGCTATGGATCTAGGGACAGTCACTTGCTCAGGGAGTTCTTTCACCCATTGTTGGTATTCACCAGATAGTGGTTCTGAAATCTTCACATCCCATGGTACTTTCTGTTTACAAGCCTCACGGTAGATATGCTTCCCTTTGAGAGTGACAGGAGAGTGAGAGTGACGAAACTAGTCCAAGTGGGTCATATACTCTCGCAAGATTTCGCAAGAGTTCTCTCTTCGTTACAGATATTTCCATTTTGGGAATCACTATGCTGATTTCATCTTCTTGCTTGTTCCACGTTAGACCAAGCAGGCTTGATTGGGACTGGTTAAATCTGGTTAGCTGCTGTTTTGCAAAGGTTTGATCAGGTTCAGCTTCCACTTCGTTCAAGTCCCGTTCCGGTTTCACTTCACTCTGTTCGCATTCAGTTTTCAGTTTGTTATCTTCTAGCTGTGGTTCGTTTGAGTGCCATTTATGCAAGGTAAACTTGGCATCTTCGAAGATCTTTATGGCACCTTCCTTTAGCTCCATTGCACTGGCAACTGTTGGTTTCCCACTTAACATATCATCAACATAAAGACTTCGTCGTATGTCAGCAACTAGCTCTGGTTCTTGGGCTTCCCAACTGTCCAGGTGATGTTCCACGACTGCTGCAAGGAGGAAGGGTGAACAGGTTAAGCCAAAAAGTGCTCTTGTAAATCTGAGTGTTTCTGTTAAAGAATGTTCATTTGGTTTCCAGAAGAATCTCAGGGAATCTCTTTCCTCTTTCTTAATCCTCACTTGTAGAAAGGCTTGTTTCAGGTCGCCAGACAATGCAACTGGATGAACCCGCATTCGTGTCAGGACGTTCCACAGCTTGTTCTAGAGCGGAGGTCCGGCATATAAACACTCGTTGAGACTAGGGGATTGTGGGTTTTCTCGAGCAGATCCATCATACACCACACGAAGCTTTGTCGATTCTGCGCCTGTTCGCACAACAGGCTTGTGGGGAAGGTAAAACTCCTTGGATGTAGGAAGTTCATCGGCCAACTCCACTATTCCCTCTTCCTTTTGTTGCTCGATTACTTTGTTGTATTCACGAGTGACTTCCAGTTTCTCTAATTTGTTATATAAGCGATCAAGTCGGCGTAGGCTGCCTTCCTTGTTGCTAGGTAATGGTGGGTGGTTCTTCTTCCACAATAATCCAGTTTCATACCATCCCTCTGGATCGCGTATAAGCTGTTCACGGAACTCAGCATGCACCGTCTGTTGATCGTGCTCGGGTCTATCTTCCAAGCCAAGTATATCTAGCCGACACAAATCCTCATAGTCGGTATGGCTAGTCTGGGTTAACAACATCTTCGAATGATCCAACTCCTTCCTTAGTTCTCTCTGCCACAGGCTCTCCCAGCTGACCGACACGTGGTGGTTCTGCCGTCTTTATTGCTGCATAATCACTCGCCCCGAGAATCAGGTGGACTGGCAAAAATGGTTTGGGATCATTATCCACTGTGACGACTCCTTCAAGATGCTTAAATGACTGAATTATCTCTGAATGATGTGGATTGTCAATTGTAAACAGTTTTCCCCGTTCGACTCTCGTAACTTCCACTTGTAATTTCTCTTCACCGTCAACAGATGCAACATTGATTGTGGACAAACTAACTTCACGAGTTGTGGAGCCAAGCATCATCTCAATTTTACGCACTTCCTTTTATTGGGACCGTTTTGGAAGTCGGTCTAACAGGGCTGCTGAAGCATAAGAGCTTCCGGCTCCGGTATCCAATAGGGCACGACACTCGATTCCCTCTACGTTAACATTTACTATTGGATACACGACTGGTTTGCTACCTTGCTCAGTAGCTAATAGCTTATCTTTCATCATACAGATTGATGTATGGTGTTTTTGCTTGCACCGCTGGCACCCAGAAGTGCTTCTACATTCAGAAGCTCGATGTCGTGCTCCTGTGCAATTAAAACACAACCGTTTAGTTGCTAGGATTTTCTTCCTCTCATTCACATCGACAACACGTGTACACTCACGTGACTTGTGATTGCTGTCTTCACAATATACACAACTGTGTTTCCTTGCACCAGTGTTAAAGACTTTGTCTGATCTATCCTTACGCCTCCCTTTCTCTTTACCACTCTCCTCATTACATGGATTAATGTCTCTCCATACTTTCATTTCCTTAACAAGTTGCGCTAAGCCCCAATCCTGCCAACCTTCGTGCCCTCTCACAATATCGCTTTTTATACCCGGTAGTTTATCGATTACACTTCTTGTCATCCCATTAACACGCTCTAGCTTGCCTAGAGTCTCTAAAGACTGTACGTTATATAATAAAGTTTTGTAAAATTTATCTACCTCACTTGGGTTGGCATCCTTGACAACAGGTAACTCCAAAATATTCTGCACGTATGCATTAACAATTTCGCTTGTTTTCCCATATTCGCCAGACAAGATTGCCTTCGCTCGACTGTAACCTTCTGTAGTTAGGGGTAGCCCATCAATATCCGTTCTTATTCTTGGTTCTACGAGTTCTTTCAAATATGCGAACTTTATCACCGGAGAAAGATCAGTGCTATCAATTTCCGCCTTGAATTTGTTCCAAAATGGCAGCCAGTTTTCATATTTCCCATCAAATTTTGTTATAGAAAGCTTAGGTAGCTTCGTTGAACTTGAACTCGCTTTCGCTTCACTCTGTCGATTTGCTTCTAGTGCCTTTTGAAATTTTAGTTGTTGTTCGAATAGCTCGTGCTCTTGACGTAATTTTTGTTCGTGTTTTTCTTCCTGAAACATGAGTTCCTTTTTAACGGCTTCGGCTTTCTCAATCGCGTGCGTTTTTCGCACAATTTCGTCTTGAATTTGTCGCAGTTCTAAAACTTTTTCGTCGGCAGCTTTTAATTTTTCCTCAATAGCACTTACCCACTCAGTTATTTGCTCCTCAGTCTCCTCTTTTACGAATTTTTCTTCCTCAATACTGTCCTTTAAGCTGTGACATGCATTGACCTTTGCTATTATCGAATTTTCGTGTCTGGATATCGCTTCGCTACTGTTCGTTTTAATCACTTCGTCGCTTCTTTTCACGGTAAATTCGAGTGTTCGCAATTTCCCTTCGAGCTCCTTCACTTTTGATTCCATATCTCCGTTAATTTACAAGAAATCAGTAGAATAATCACCAGTTTTAATGCTTTTTTAAGACAGGTTTCGTTTCCCGCGGCCGTGTCGTTCGTGACCTAATATAAATGCCAATATTTTCACAGGTTCTTGCTCTTGTACGAGCGATAAATCACACAAATCCCGTTTGGAGGTGCCACTATGTCGAGAATTGCCCCCTGATAGTTCTCAACACAATAAGTTTTAGTTTTCTGTAGTTTTAATAACATTTATACGCACTATAAATCTCTCACAACACGCTGTCTCAAAATTGTTTCACAAATCACAATAACAACTACCGGTATATTCCGGAACTTTCCGACAGAGTTCAGTTCGGACTCGCGCGTCCCACGCGTAACAAAACATAATATATAATGACAGTTTTCGACAAGATATATCGAAATTTTTTCGTTTGTGGCTCTCTAAAACGTATACCACCAAAGTCATTAACAGTCATTAATGTTTTACAAGCAAAATTTTAACCTCTTAATTTAAGTACTTATTATGGATAGATAGGGATTATTTATTACCTTAAAATCGGGCGCGTGGCTTTGCAGGCAAAAGTTCGCACAAGATTTCACTTTTAAAATACATTTATTTCTTCAAAGTTATGCTTCTAATATATATCTTCACCTTTTTGAGACGTTTCACTATCCGATTCGTCATCGTGGCTGCTTTCATCATCTGAGATATTGATATCCTAAGATACTGTATGATATCCTAAGATATTGTATGATATCCCAAGATGTTGTATGATATCCCAAGATATGATATCCTCAGATTCTGCATGATACCCCAAGATATTGTACGATACTGCATTATATACTAAGATATAGGTATCCTAAGATAATATATTCAATGATTCAATCTATGATTCAATGATTTAATCTATGATTCAATGATTCAATCTATGATTCAATGATTCAATCTCAGGATTCAATGATTCAATCTTAGGATTCAATGATTCAACTATGATTGAATGATTCAATCTTAGAATTCAGTGAATCAATCTTAGGATTCAATGATTCAATCTTAGGATTTAATGATTCAATCCTAGGATTCAATGATTCAATCTATAATTCAATGATTAAATCTTAGGATTCAATGAATCAATCTTATTATTGAATGATTCAATCTTACGATTCAATGATTCAATCTATGATTCAATGATTCAATCTCAGGTTTTAATGATTCAATCTTATGATTCAATGATTCAATCTTAAAATTCAATGATTCAATCTCAAGCGGTATGACAAGTTTTGGCATATGACAAGTTTTGGCATATGACAAGTTTCGGCGGGTATGAAATTTGTCATACCGCCTGATGATTCTTTACAGATGAAACAGACTGTTGCGGAATTTTGAGGTAAGAATCCCAGATTGAATCATTGGATCATAAGATTGAATCATTAAATCCTGAGATTGAATCATTGAATTTTAAGATTGAATCATTGAATCATAAGATTGAATCATTGAATCATAAGATTGAATCATTGAATTCTAAGATTGAATCATTCAATCCTTCTAAGATTGAATCATTCAGTCCTAAGATTGATTCATTGAATCCTGAGATTTAATCATTGAATCATAAATTGAATCATTGAATCCTAAGATTGATTAATTGAATCCTAAGATTGAATCATTCAATCATAGATTGAATCATTGAATCCTAAGATTGAATCATTGAATCCTAAGATTGAATCATTGAATCATAGATTGAATCATTGAATCATAGATTGAATCATTGAATCATAGATTGAATCATTGAATATATTATCTTAGGATATCTATATCTTAGTATATAATGCAGTATCGTACAATATCTTGGGGTATCATGCAAAATCTGAAGATACCATACAATATCTTGGGATATCATACAACATCTTGGGATATCATACAATATCTTAGGATATCATACAATATCTTAGGATATCATACAATATCTTAGGATATCATACAGTATCTTAGGATATCATACAATATCTAGGGATATCATACAATATCTTAGGATATCACACAGTATCTTAGGATACCAATATCTCAGATGATGAAAGCAGCCACGATGACGAATCGGATAGTGAAACGTCTCAAAAAGGTGAAGATATATATTAGAAGCATAACTTTGTAAAACATTTTGAAGAAATAAATGTATTTTAAAAGTGAAATCTTGTGCGAACTTTTGCCTGCAAAGCCACGCGCCCGATTTTAAGGTAATAAATAATCCCTATCTATCCATAATAAATACTTAAATTAAGAGGTTAAAATTTTGCTTGTAAAACATTAATGACTGTTAATGACTTTGGCGGTATACGTTTTAGAGAGCCACAAATGACAAAATTTCGATATATCTTGCATATAATCTGTAATAACTCTCTGTTCTTTAGTATTTTTTTCCTGTCTCAAGCTCGCTGGGTGAAATAAAAAAATTGTATATATCCACACGGGGTGGGCGGGTTAATCACTTTTTAATGACTCTGTAATATGCAAATATCGACCATAACAACGGCGTTGATAACGATTTTAACTTGAGCTTAGCATATCTTAGTTCTGTTTAAAAAATTTCATATGTATGTCTGGATTTTTATTATTCCTTGTTTAATAGTCCTAAACATGGTGAATACATCCCCAGAGAAAACCAAGGATGGTGTTAAAGTAGTGGACACTCTAAGATAATCTAATAAAACCTTGTAATACGATGAATTCAAATATACCTTTTATACTTTATTTCTATTGTCGTTTATGATTTTGGGGAATTTTGAATAAACTGGGATATTCTCTGCAGAATCCCCCCCCCCCGGGAATTCTGCGGGAATTCTCGCCTTCGGCTCGAGTTTGTATATCCGATACAACACGGCCGCTCATGTTGTAAATAGTACATATATGTGGGGATAAATATTAGCAAAGTATTAAACTTAAAAAATTTTCTTAATTTAAAATGCCAGTAATCATTGGCCCACACTCTTTAAATACATTACAAGCGCGCGTGTAATTGATATGAAATTATACTGTGATGACGTCATGGGGTGGTGCTTAGTGCGCCACCCGTCCCAGAACTCCCCTTCCCTATACTAGTAATTGATAAACATTGCGTTGTTCAGCATACAATATAAAAAATGTCGTTATGTGGGATTTTATTGTTTATTAGATAGTAGAGCTGGAACGCCCAGTTCATTTATTCCACAAGGAAAGTTGTGTTTTGTAGGATTCTGAAACTGTTGTGGAACAACATTATCCTGACAACATACCAATATTCCGCCGCAACGAAAACAACGACACGCAAACTTTAAATTCACCTTACAAACTCTTGCTAAAACTCTAAACCTGTGCAACTATTAATGGCACAATCCATACAATGAGCGTATATAGTGAACATTTACTGAGATTTTTGCGACAATGAAAACCATTATTGTTTTCCAAATCCGTGAGTATTGAATAACATTATTTTCAGTAATACTATAATTGTTTTTTATAGTCTGCGTTAAGTGTAAGCATTCATGATGGCCTCTATCTACCCAACCGGGATTTTATTATCCTGCCTAAAGCTATTGGTCGTGGAAAGTTTGGAGTGTGTTTCAAAATCTTGGATATAAAATCTGGAAAGAACTTTGCGTTAAAAAAGGTAATGGTTAAATATGAATTTTATTTGTATGAATAATTCTTTGGAAGAAAAAAGTAACTCATTTTGCTAAGCCAAATTGCATTATCTAGTATCATAAAACCTCTCAATTTTACGTCATCGCATAAATTATATCCAAGTGTCAGAATTTATAGAATTGCTTGCCCTCTTTATGTACACTGTATCGAGCCGTGTCGTGGGTTGTTGTTGTTGGTTTTTTGGGGGGTGGGCGGCAGTAGTAATATAGGTACCGTTCGACCCGGATTTTTTGGGCGGAGGAGGGGCGGATTAGGGGCGGAGGAGTGTGGTGGAGTGAGGAGGAGTGAGGCGAGGTAATGACGTCACGCGGGCAAGTTTGAGCAAGTAATGACATCACACGGGCAAGTTTGGACAAAACTTGCTGAGTAGGCATTTTTTAGCGTCCCTCCACGTGTGTGATACAATAGAGGGATTAATCTTGGCTTACTATGAACTTTTATACAAGTGTCTGTATAAAATCGACAAGAGTCTTGGAATAAGCATAGTTCTGCATTTGACAACGCTTAGTTCTACATCAGTCATGGCGTGTCTACACGGTAAAGCCGCGTCTTACAATTTATTGGAAAGTATATATACGAATGCAGTCGCACAAGAAGTGGAAAGACTTTGTGTGGAATCCTGTAATGGTTGTCAAGCCGGTCATCCTAGTTAAAGACAACATGACTGCCTCATGATGAACGAAAACGAACGATGGCAAATGTATGGTACAAGCGATCGAACGAGTGAATGGTAAGCGTATGGTTTGGAATGAATTCGCTGAGGCAATGAGGGTACTAAAACTGGCAGTTGACAGAGATGTACTCGAACATTTACAGCAACTGGAAAAAGATGTAGATTCTACGTTTGTCGATTCATTGATGGAACTACATCAGAACACTGAGAACCACGAACTACAATGTATACTGAACAATTTGTTTCGTTGGAGATTAGAAGACCCGCTCGAGTCAGTAGCTGAAACGTACCCACCTAGTTACATGTATTATGTGAAGGCGACGGGTGAGCGATTTAGACGTTTTGAGGCAGATCATAAGAAAGCTTATCAAGAACTTATGGAGAAAAAAATATTAGAACAGTTTAACAAACAGTCTTAGTTGTAATTTTTTTGACACTATCGTCTGTTATTTGTATCAATAAACATGTTTTAAATTTTGCAATACGAATTTGCATAACTAAGTGTATCCCAGGGGATAGATAGGGATTATTTATAACGCAGGTGTATGCCTTAAAATCGGGCGCGAGGCTTTGCGGGCAAAAATTTACACAAGATTTCAGTTTTAAAATACATTTATTTCGTCAAAACGTTTTACAAAATTTAGTACAGTCTACTTCTAATATATATCGTCACTTGTTTGAGACTTTTCACTATCCGATTCGTCATCGTAGCTGCTTTCGTCATCCGTTATCCATTTGGTAAGTCTTGGGGCTTCGAGTTTTTGCTTACTGCGTTGACTTCGCCTTCTCTTGCGTCCATGCCCAGTTTGACGCAGAAGAGTCCTTGCTCAGCAAAGTCTTTAACAACGTCACCTCCGTGAGTCTTTACAGATTCTCGGACATTTTTTCCTTGGAGTATATCTTGACCAACTTCTGTGGCTGCTTGCAATGCTCTTTTGCCAACAACTTTAGCACCTTGTTTGAATAGAGGGATAGCATATCTCGCAAGGCTCTTGAAAATACCTCCGATCCCATATCCCCTTTGCATACGTGCACCACGAAACCCACCAATGTTTCCGCCACGTTGTTGTCTCAAGAAATGGTCTCTCAATAGTTTTTCGTCTACAACAAGTTTACCCCTTGGCATATTGATGCGTTCAGTTCAACTTCACACATTCAACTGATCAAATATCACTTTATTCGTATATTTTATGCTCAAAAAAAGTCTTTTATCAGTACTAACATCCATAATTTCATCACAACGACAGTGTGAGCAACTGGCGATTACATGGGTGAAATTTCCTTCGGACAGTCGAAAATCACAGATCATACAGCGACACCTTGTACAATTGGGATAAAAATCTGTCCATGCGCATACAGGGCATGTACCCAAATGGGAGATATGTAAATCTTTGTTACAACTGTTACAAGTTGTGTCCACATCTTCAGACTCATCTTCGGATTTATCAGACTGTGTATCCACATCATGTAGTGACTGCTTCTGGGCTAGCATTGTAAGGACACGTCCATTTACGATTAGACTTATCAATTTCCAATTTTGCAAGACCTTTAAGAAATATATTCAGGCCAGCCGGTTCTGGAATTTCAGTATTATATGGTAAAACAGTATATTGCAAAAGATCTACAATATTTGTTCCACGTATATTCTGTCCTTTGTATACAATTTCCCCTTGAAGATTCGATGTGAGAATATCCGTGGATGTGAGAATGCAGTGAAGAAGTTCTTCAGCATTGTTTTTATCAACATTATCGTTTAAGTGTCCCAGTATATCTTCAACGCGCCAATGTCTCGGAGATGTTTTACTGTCGATGTTCATGGTTGGAATGACGATGTGAATTAATGATGATTATTTTATACTAAATCTGCAAGGCCCTCTAAAAGTGGCACAAGTAACAATCCTAGAAAACCACTCCCGCGCTGAACAAGAATTTTCCTTTTCTTTCTAAAACTCCTACTTCTGTCCGCTAAGTCAGCGAGATCATCTTTAAATGGTCCAAGTTTGTTCAATGTTCCTTTAGGATATGTAAAGTTTTCCAGGCAATTACATAGAAAGCGAATCTGTTCATGAGATGCAGAATTCAACAGAGCTTGCTGTTGAATTGGATGCGAAATACACAAGAGCTCCACAAACGGTCTGTGTTTCATATAACTGCTAGTCATCTCTGTTCGGCGGTCAGCAACGGAATGAAGATTTAGTTGGAATTAACACATATATAAGGGTCAGCTCGCCCTATATAGATTAGGTCTAGACAATAGTCTTAATAGTCTTTACTATAGTCTTAATAGTCATGACTATAGTCATGACTATAGTCTTAATAGTCTTTACTATAGTCTTAATAGTCTTTACTATAGTCTTAATAGTCTTTACTATAGTCTTAATAGTCTTTACTATAGTCTTCATAGTCATGACTATAGTCTTCATAGTCATGACTATAGTCTTCATAGTCATGACTATAGTCTTACTAGTCTTTACTATAGTCTTCATAGTCATGACTATGGTCTTTACTATAGTCATGACTATAGTCTTAATAGTCTTTACTATAGTCTTCATAGTCTTTACTATAGTCTTAATAGTCTTTACTATAGTCTTCATAGTCATGACCATAGTCTTAATAGTCTTTACTATAATAGTCTACATAGTCATGAGTATAGTCTTAATAGTCTTTACTATAGTCTCCATAGTCATGACTATAGTCTTACTAGTCTTTACTATAGTCTTAATAGTCTTCACCATAGTCTTAATAGTCTTCGCCATAGTCTTAATAGTCATTTAGGGGGCTTCGGTGGCGAAGTGGTTAGCGCACTTGCCTTTCACCTCTAAGGCCGCGGGTTCGAATCTCAGTGAGGACTTCTCATTGTGACTGGAACCCAGTCCTAATGTGAAAAGAGTAAAGTCAACGCTCTGCCGAAAGTCGTGGGTTTTCTCCGGGTACTCCGTGTTTCCTCCCACAGGGAAAGTTGACAGGGTGGGTTAGGCACATAACTATGTAAATGCACGACCACTTCAGCTATGCTGCGAATTTAATCGTGTTGAAATAAATGCTTATAATAATAATAATAATGACTATAGTCTTAATAGTCATGACTATAGTCTTCATAGTCATGACTATAGTCTTTATAGTCTTCATCATAGTCTTAATAGTCATGCCTATAGTCTTCATAGTCATGACTATAGTCTTCATAGTCTTCATCATAGTCTTAATAGTCATGACTATAGTCTTACTAGTCATGCTTATAGTCTTAATAGTCATGACAATAGTCTTAAAAATCATCACCACAGTCTTCATAGTCGTGACAATAACCAACGGGATAAATATACCTCTTCACCCTTGCTTTAAATAATTTTACACTGACTCTTGAGAAGTAAACATGTCTTATGAATGCGACATCTGCGGTAAAACGTTTGCAAATGCGAGTAATCTCCTTCGCCACAAGAAGGTTGTCCATGCATATGGAACTTGTAATCTTGGGCAACAAACTCTTACGGTGAAT